CCCTCCCCCCGCACCGCCCCTCGGGGGGGGGGGGGAAAGGGGGCCCGCCCCGCCCCCCCAGCCCCCCCCCCCGGGTTCAGCCGGGCTGTGGGCGGATCCTAGGCGCTCTCGGCCGAGAAGGGCTCCCAGGGAGGGAGGGAGGGAGGGGAGAGGCGTTTTCCCGCCCCGTCACATAGAGAGAGAGAGAGAGAAGGGAAGCGCGAGCCGAGTATCCCGTCGCATGCAGGTTTGACTTCAAAGAGAGAGAAAGAGATTACAAATATATATATTTTAAGGAATACAGCTAGTCATTTTAAATACGGAGAAAATCATCCAGTTACAAAACTAAAATAGTAGGACCAACTTAAAAATACTGCCCAGCGTGACAGCCTTTTTAACCCATAATCTCGCTTTTGTGTGGGCAACGCGATGGACATCCACGAGCATGTGGCTGCCATATTGTAACGGTCGTTTTCTTAAAGGCTTTATGATAGCCCTTCATTGTAGTGGATTGTTCACACTGCAGCTTAGAAACGGACTTCCACCATCAACAGCTGCCTCCAGTTTCTCACAAGCCAAAATTTAGCGCTCGGGTCGCATCTATCTATCTATCTATCTATCTATCTATTTATCTATCTATCTATCTATCTAAACACTTCTTTATCGTCCATTCAACTGCTGCCCTTTTTAAAAGGAGCCGACAACCAGATGTTCACAAGAAACAAGACCTGTGTGAGAAAAATCACTACATCCTTTTAGAATTACAGTACTGTGATTATTCTCCCCCTTTCTATAAAAGGTAAACACTTTGTTGTTGTTGTTTAGTCCGACTCTTCGTCACCCCATGGACGCCAGGCCCTCCTCCTGTCTACGAAACACAGTGGTACGCAAATATAGCTAAATGTTGGAGAGAGAGAAAAACACATTGGTACAAAATTAACCGGCAAAAGTGGATTTTAACAAAAAAAATCACCCGAATTTTACACTAAAATAAATCTGTTAGCTTTCAAAATACGACAACACCCTCTCGGTTTTCTCCTCCCCCCCCCCACGCCGCCAAAAATCTAAGCTGACAGGCCGAAAAGAGCCGTCCAAATTAACCAAGAAGTTTAGCTCTGAATCTCCCTCTACTTCGTAGGTTGGTATAGGTCTACATACACACGCCCTCACGTGAGCGGCGCGACACCACCGCGCAATTCTGGAAGTGAGGGAGAGGCGCCATTTTGTTTGTGTGAGGACGGTGTTGGTGTGCGTTTCCTTCACCCTTCGGTTCATCGTTGAGTATAAGTGGCAGAGGTGTGGAAAGCAAGCATTCCATTTTCTCCTCGTACGACTTGGTCGGGACAGGAAAGTAGGTCCGAAACGGGAAAGTTCTTGTCGTTCTCTCTCGGGCTTCGTCTTGGGAGGAGGGCCCGCGGTTGCGTCTCTCTCTGGTGGGGAGGGAAGGGGTTGGAGGCGGCGGGGCGATTTGAGTCAACGGTCGCCGGGGTGGTGGTGATGCTGGTAGGAGGGGGGGCAGAAATAGGGCGCCTCTTAAGACGCCTTCTCTCCGGCCGGCCTCTTGGAGCGCTTGGAGGAGAGCGCGTCTTTCGAGAGATTGCGCGGCGCGCTCTGTTCCTTACACACCGCGACGCAGGTCACATTTTCGTGCAGGAAAGCCTTGCCCTCGGTGTGAAGGGCAGCCTTTACAGCTCCAACCTCGCCTCCTGCCGCCTTGCTGGACTGACCCCCCAAATGGGAAGGAGGCCGAGGCCAGCCCGTTTGCGGAGGTGGAGACCGTGTTCTGACAGGTCGGGCATGAAAATGGTTTCCAGGTTGTGTTGAGTTTCAGCGCCTTTAAAACTGCATCGGACTGAATTCTTGTGTTCTAGGGCGACGCACCGAGTTATCTCCCCGAGGCAAAAACCTCCTGCAGATCAAGGGCGGGTGTCTCGGTGCATTTTTTTTTTTACCCAAGGACCTTGTCTTGTTTAACATGTGGAGTATGAATTATTTTAGGCACTGTGATAAATGCTATGGTTAATTTTATGCGCGTGGGGAGAGTCAAGCTTGGTATTAAAGTCAAATGGAAAAGCAAAGTTTTGAAGTCTGTTTTCAATGTCATGGTGCTTGGAAATGTATAGTAATTTTAACTATTTAAAGTTTTGGCTAGCTAGCTTGGCTGGTAGATAGTTCAGTTGGTTGGAGCACTTGGGTTGCAGGGGATCGGGAGTTTAATTTCCCTAGAAGAGAGCCAGGCTGTGTAGTCTTGTGCAAACGGGGCAGCCTAAGAAGAGCAGGATGGTAAACCCCTTCTGGGCATTTTGTAGGTAGAAAGCACAGGGTGAAGTTACCACATAACAGAATCGAGTTGACTGCACAGTATTAATGTTATGCGAAGAGTGTATTTTACACCAGTTAACTGTGGGTAGTTTTCATGGAATTGGTGGGTTTTACAGGGGCAAGGGAGTGAGATTTGATGACAATTTGATGGTTAGATAGTTTTCAGAAGGCCTTCCTTTCATTCTAGAAATTTGGTGATTATCAAGTGAAAAGGATAATACAAAGTGATTTGAAAGTCATTAGTTGACTTAATGGCCTCTGAGAAGGCACTGTTAAGCTTGTTATATTACTGCCTGCTGCACTCTGTTTGAACTGATATGTATATTTTTAGTATTAGCTATGTATGTTTGTTAAATAAACACAGAACAAAACTAAGTTTTATGTATTCTTTTAATGAGTTGTATATTTAAAGTGTAGACTACAGTATGCAAATTTGTTTCTAAAATCCATACTTTTCTATGTAAGTGTTTAATTGTTGTGATTACAAAATTTTTGAAATGTGGTAGTCTGTTTGGTGTAAGGTAGTGTTCCTCCTTATTCTTGTGGGTTAATGTAGTGCCCTGACTTTAAATGAAGTAATGATGAAAGAGCAGCAGCATAAAAATCGTTCCTGTATTCTGTATGTAAAACTGGTGATACATTTTTCCTAAATGTTTGCCTTTGTGTTTGTAATTATACGTTAGAAATATTGTAAGTCCAGTCTCTACGTGCCAATAATTTAAAAATCAGTCTTTATGTTTAATAAAGTTTTCTCCTAAATGAACAGGAGTGTAGCCCTCAGAAGTACTCCTATGAAGAGCTTTTTTAGGAGTAAGCTTCCCTCAGCACAGTCTCTTTAAGTTTAATGCGTATAAGATTGTGGGCAAAAACAAAATCAAAGGAGGAAGTGGCCCAAAAATAAGACAAAGTATTATGGCATGTTAAGGACTTAGCATATTTGTTTTAGTATGAGGTTTCATTGATTAAAGGCCACTACTGCAAACATCAAGGAATATTCATCCTGTGCTCTCTTATATATATCCCCGTGGAGGGAGTCATGAACAAAATCTCACACTGAAACAAATCTGTTCAAAATGCCAGAATATGTTTTCTTTTTTAATGTTGCCAGTGTGCAGTGACTTCTTTGAAAATGTGTATAAAGTTGTGCTAATTGCGTTATTTTGTATTTATCAGTGTTCTGTTGTAACAATTTCACCTCAGTATATTTTCTTATGATAGATGAAGCACTCAAAACGAACCCATGGCTCAGATCGAGAAGATAGGAGCTGGGATGAAGAGAAGAGTACATATAGCCAAAAGCGTAGAAGATCTCATAGCAGTGAAAAAGATCGCAAACATAAATCACATAAAACTGCAGACAGGTAAAATCCTTCACACTTAACAGTGATCTTGTTATAATGATACGCAATTTAAGTCTTCTGTTTCCTATTTGTCACTTTCAACTTAGAATTTACATATTAGTGTTAATTAGCAATTTACATTAAATGAATAATATTTAACTTGTTACATTTACAATTTTTCCCAATATTATAGACAAAGCTTTTCAAAAGAACTAGTGAAGAACAAAATCCCAGGAGATTTCTGTCACGTTTTCTTTCTTTAAATATCTGTCTTTTGGACTTTGTCCAAATAAAATTCTTAAAGGTTTCTACCTTTTAAAAATGCAGTAATGAATGTCAGATCAGACATTTGGTTTGCCTGGTTTTTGTTTTGTTTTGTTTTGTTTTGGTAGAAGATGAAGGAGAACTGTATTCCCCATAATTTTGCTCTTTTGAATCTTGTTCAGAAGGAATGCTATCTTTCAGACTTGGAATGTGATTGTTGCTTGCAGTTATACCTTTGTGAACTTCACATGGAGTACATATGAAGTATTTTGCATAGGATTGTTTGAGAATTAGGAGTTTTGAAATATGCCAAAGGTTTTCTAGGCTCAAAAATACCCTGTTGGAGCCAATATTTCTTATTCTGCTCTGAAGAAATGAGATTCTCAGACTGTATATGGCCATTCTTGGCACCTGTGCCCAGTAAATATGTTTTTGAATCTATGAACTGAGATTGCAGAGTAAATCTGTGTCACAAAGACAGACCTCCCACATGTACTTTCCTCCCCACAGCTGCTTTGTGTACACATGCGCATGCCAGCATGATCACTCCTTCACCCCTTCACGCATGCACCCACACGCGCAAAGCAGCTGTGGGGAAGGGAGTGAGTGCAGGGGGGGGAGGAGGTCTGTCTTTGCGGTGCGGCGGCAATGGCAACGGCAGTGGCCCAGAGGCAGAAGGCTGAGCATAGCCGGGTGCTCCGGCTGCTCACCTCCCGGCAGCCTCCAACAAGGCCAGGGTGGGTGCTCCTCAGCAGCCCCCCTCCTTTTCTCCTCAATCCGCCAGCCTTCCCTGGGCCCCCTTCCTGAAGGAGGCACCAGGACCCAGGTGTGAGGTGAAGCAGTGCCAGGCTGTGTGACAGGCAGGCTCTGTCAGCACAAGTCGGGAGGGTGGGGGATGGGCACCATTTGACAGGAAGGAGGGAAGAGTCATTGTCATCAGAACCAGTGGCGGGCAAAATAAGGTGAGTGGAGATGAAGGGGCTCTAGAAATCTTCTCCCCACCACCCTCGCAACGGCAGCGCTGGGCACGAATGGAGAGTCAGTCTCTCTTTCTCTCTCTGCGGGGGGGACTGGGGGGAGATGAGCAGGCTCAAAGCCACGCCTAGAGCCGTGGGGGGGGGGAAGGGGAGTAAGCCTGAAGGTCCCTATTCCGCCCTCATGGTCCATGTCTTTTATATTTGTTGTTCCATTTTTCTACTTCCAAGCCTTGGTGAAAGTTTCCGTAATGTCCAAGCTGAGGAGGGAGTTGGGAATTATTCTCGTGTCGCTTAATTCCCTTCTCACCTTTACATCTATGGGTCTTCTCCCCGTTTCTCTTCACCCCCTTCTTCCCGGTGGACTTTGAACCTCATCTCCTCCTCCTCCTGGTCATCTTCCAGCATCTCCCTCCTGCCTCGACATCCCCCTCCATTTATCACCTAAACCAGAGGTCCTCAACCTTTTCCTTACCACGGACCGGCTGAGCCTCTGAGGGAGGTCGCGCGGCCCCTCATGCTCGCGCTTTCGGATGTATGCACGAGGTGGTGGTGGATCCGCGCGCCAGAGGCATGCGCACGCTCCCCCACCACTTCGCGCATGTCCAGGAGTGCCTGTCCACCCGTGTGCCCACTCCTGCGCGTGGGCGCATGTTTGAAGGGGTGAGGGGGGGAAAGGTCTGTTTTCACAGTTGGGCGGTGGAGGCGAGTGGGTGGTGCAGAGCTGGGAGATACAGCGAGATAGAGTGAATCTGTGTGGGTGAGTGTGAGAGGGAGGGAGCAAGCAAGCCCCAGGTGCTCTCCTCCTGGCATCAGCAGCTGTGACTGGGGTGGGGGTGTGGAGAAGAGCTGGGAGGAAGAGCAAGCCCTGGGTGCTCTCCTCCCGGCAGCAGGGGTGGCGACGGGGTGTGTGTGCAGAGCTGGGGGAGAGAGAGAGAGAGGCAAGCTTTTACGTTTACAGCAGGAAGGGAACAGAGGTAGGCCTTTCCCCTGTAAGGAGGCAGAAAGACCAGGTATGTTGGCTTGGGGTATTCACAGCCTCAGGTTGCGAACCATCATACCCCATTTGCAGAGTTATTGCCATGCCTCTGGCGCGTGTGCGCACGCGCTCCCCCACTACTTGGCATGTTCGCAGGCAACCCCATCCCTGCGCGTGGGTGCATGCTTGAAGGGGTGAGGGAGCGCCTCCCAGCGCCAGCAGCCTGGGAGTCTGAGCATGGCTGGGGTGCTCCCTCCGGCCGCTCGCCTCCCAATCTCCAACAAAGCCAGGGTCGGTGTTCCTTGCTGCCCTCCGCGGCGGGAAATTCAAATGGTGGAGGGTGGGGAGGAGCGTTGAAAACTGATGCAGGAGCCCCGGCAAGCAGCCGCTGGTGCCAGTTCCGGAGTTGGAGGCACCAGCGGCCGCATCAGCCTGCTGAGGGCGGCAAGGAGCGCCGACCCTGGCTTTGTTGGGGCTTGCTCTTCCTCCCAGGGCTTGCTCTTCCTCCCAGCTCTTCTCCACACCCCCACACCCGTCGCCGCTCCTGATGCCAGGACGAGAGCTGCCAGAACACACAGGCCTTGCTCTCCCTCCCGGCAGTTCTCCAGCCCCCCCCCCACGCCCGTTGCCACCGCTGCTGCCGGGAGGAGAGCCGTAAAAACCCCCGGGCCTTGCTCTCCCTCCCGGGAGGTCTCCAGCCACCCCCCGCCGCCGCCGCTACTGCCGGGAGGAGAGCCGTAAAAACCCCCGGGCCTTGCTCTCCCTCCCGGGAGGTCTCCAGCCACCCCCCGCCGCCGCCGCTACTGCCGGGAGGAGAGCCGTAAAAACCCCCGGGCCTTGCTCTCCCTCCCGGGAGGTCTCCAGCCACCCCCCGCCGCCGCCGCTACTGCCGGGAGGAGAGCCGTAAAAACCCCCGGGCCTTGCTCTCCCTCCCGGGAGGTCTCCAGCCACCCCCCGCCGCCGCCGCTACTGCCGGGAGGAGAGCCGTAAAAACCCCCGGGCCTTGCTCTCCCTCCCGGGAGGTCTCCAGCCACCCCCCGCCGCCGCCGCTACTGCCGGGAGGAGAGCCGTAAAAACCCCCGGGCCTGGCTCTCCCTCCCGGCAGGTCTCCAGCCACCCCCCACCCCCATTGCCTGCGGCTACTGGCGGGAGGAGAGCAGCGAAAACACCCGGCCCTAGCTCTCCCTCCCCGCCCGGCTCCCGCCCCCCCCGCTACTGCCGGGAGGAGAGCCGCAAAAACACCCGGGCCTTGCTCTCCCTCCCGGCTCTCCCCCAGCCCCGTCGCCGCCACGGGGCCATAAAGGCAGACCTCCTGCCCCCCCCCACAGACACTTCCCTCCCCACAGCTGCTTTGTGGACGCAGGGGCTTGCATGAAGGGTTGAGGGAGGGGAGGGAGTGGTGGGGGGGCGGGAGGTCTGCCTTCCTGGCCCGGTCAGGCTCAAGCCGGGGACCGGCAATGGCCCGCGGACCGGGGGTTGATGACCTCTGACCTAAACAGCCATGCTCGTTCGGCTTGCTTTCTGAAGGTGCCACGAATTTGCAGTTTTTCCTACAGAATTACAGTAAACCACCCCATATGCTGCTCCTTCTGCTGTCTCTTGTCACCCTATACAGTGATGCCTCACTTAGCAATTGCCTCGTTTAATGCTGTATTCGCTTAGCGATGAGGTTTTTGGAGTTATCTTGCGCTCCGTTTAGTGATGTTTACAATGGGGCAATTTCACATAGCGCTGTTCAGGACCTTGCTTCGCTTAGCGATGACAGTTTAGGTCCCCCTGTTTCGCTTAGCGATGCTTTTGACAGCTCCATTTTCGCTATTTTTAAAAGGTGTTAAATTGTTTAAAAAGGGTTTAGAGTGCTTGAAATCGTTAGTGCACTTAATAAACCCTTTGTTAACCAAATGTGGCTTCTTTTTGACTCTTTTTGAATTTTTGGTGATTATTTTCTCCCCCACTGAAATGCATTGAAAAGGTTTCAGTGCATTCCAATGGGGGAACCGCATTTCACTTAGCGATGTTTCCTATGGCAATTTTCGCTTAAGGACAGCAATCCGTTCCCATTGGTACGGATTATCCGGTTTTCAATGCATCTCTATGGGAAAACGCGTTTCGCTTAGCAATGTTTTCCCATAGCGATGAATTTTTTTGCACCAATTAAAATCGTTAAGCGAGGGACCACTGTATAGTCTTTTCTTTCCCTAAGGGCATGCTCTCACATATCTGCCCTAAATAGCTTCTTCCCCCACTTTTGTTTGCTTATTTCTTCAGTGGCTGCTCGCCAGAGCAGTTTGCTGTTCACTTTGGCTTGGACGAAAGCGCCGCTGAACCAGCACCAGTGACTGCTCGCCAGAGCAGCCGCATAGGTTGTCGTCGCTCCTCACCATTTGAATTTCCCGCCGCAGAGGGCAGGGAGGAGCACCACCTCCCGGCCTTGTTGGAGCCCATCAGGAGGCGAGCGGCTGGAGGGAGCACCCTGGCCATGCTCAGACTCCAAGGCTTCCGCCGCCTCTGCTGGCATGCACTCCCTTCAAGTACTGTATGACTCTGCATGCTGGGGGTGCGGGTGCGGGTGGGCAGGCACTCCTGCGTGAAGTGGTGGGGCAACCACTTCACACATGCATCAGAGAGCGCGAGCACGAGGGGCTGCTCCACCTCCCTCAGAGGCTCAGCCGGTCCAGAGTATGAAAAAGATTGAGGACCACTGTCTTAGGGTATTCTGATGGCCCTAGAGTAGAATATAGAATCTGTTTTATTGTAGTCTCCTGTTATTTGGAATGTTAATATGTTATCCTGAAGTTAATTGTTTTTGGCAGATTATTTGCTATTTTAAATATAGCTAAAATAGTTAAACAAAATTTTATGGGAATGCCTCGATTTGGACAGGTTCCTTTATTACAGTCCATGTTACAGTGGGGTCTCGACTTACGAATGGCTCGACGTACGAACGTTTTGCCTTACGAACCGCTCTCATAGGAATATATGGACTCGACTTACGAACTTAGATTCGAGTTACGAACTCTTTTTTTCCTTTTTTTAAAAGCGAAGTCATCTTAGGTTAAAAGGAAAAAAATATCCCCCTCTAGTGGCAGAAGGCGGAATAGCAGCTTCCCATTAGTTTCTATGGACGAAAAGAGCAGATACGGATTAAATGGTTTTCAATGCATTCCTATGGGAAATGCAGATTCGACTTAAGAACTTTTCAACCTGAGAACTGCCTTCCAATACGGATTAAGTTCTTAAGTCGAGACACCACTGTATCTGTGTTATGGTCCTCAATACTGAGCCATGATTTGACTAATTGATGTTGGGTGCACCTGCTCTGTGAGGTTGACAAATGATGTTGAGGCTTAATAACTGACAAGTATATTTGCTAGCTACAAGACTATAGTAAATATATGTCTGAATGCTTCCAGTGCTCTTCCTTGATCATCTAGGGAGTAGCAGCCTGCCCTTCCCAGATGAAAAAGGATTGGAGGGAATAACTAATAGCCCTTGCAGATCTGAATATTAAGCATTGGCCCCACTTCCCTGCATACTTCCCACAGTATAGGAAATATATGTTTACAGATTTAGTGTTGAAAAGGCTTGAATCTTCAGTTCAGCTTCTTTCTCTCCGTACCAAAATAAGCAATTCAGTATTTTTATAATGTTCCTTCAACTGTTTTCCATTTACTATAGGTTTTGGTAGCTTTCATTGCCTTAATTAGCGAACATAACAAAATTAAGGGAATTGTTCCCTTTAATTTTTTTTCATTATTTATGTAGAAGGACAAAGTGAGAGAAGGAATGAGTGAGTGCTCCAACAATGGAGTGGTGAGTGTTGGTGAGAGCTCTAACACTGGAGGCATTCAAGAAAAACTTAGATAACCACCTGGCAGATATGCTTTGATTGTATTCCTGCATTGAGCAGGGTGTTGGACTTGATGGCCTTGTAGGCCTTTTCCAGCTTCACTTTTCTATGATTCTAAGGAAGCAATTTGCAGCTAAGGCTAGGGAATGGAGAAAGAGTATGAAGGTAAAAACTTTGAGTAAAAGCTACTGTCAAATTGGAACAAATTCAAAGCAAATTCAAAGCCTGGACCAGATTCAGGCAACATGGATGATCGGGTGCTGAAAACCAAGGCCTATGATGAAAGACTGAAATATCTGGGCATGTTTAGCCTTGAGAAAAGAAAACTAAGAGGAGACATGATACCACTTTTCAAATACTTTACTTGAAAGGCAGTCATACAGAGGACGGGCAAGATCTGTTTTCGATTATCCCAGAGGGCAAGATGTGCAACAATGAGCTCAAGTTACAGGAAGTCAGATTTCTTTTGAATATCAGGAAAAAACTTCCTATCTGTTAGACTAGTACAGCAGTGGAACCAGTTACCGCAAGAGGTGGTGAGTGCTCTAACACTGGAGGCATTCAAGAGAAATCTAGACAGCCACCTGGCAGATATCCTTTGATTTGTATTCCTGTATTGAATAGGGGGTTGGAATCAGTGGCTTTATCGGCCTCTTCCAACTTCATGATTCTGTGATTATATTATTCTATTTGCTGTGTATACATGTTATCATGGCAACAAAAATATGACATCAACTTGATCCCAAGTAATGACATTTCCCTGGGTTTCTAGAGATAAAGTGCTCATAAGTGGGCTACCAGTCCCTCCTTGGGGTCATGCAGCTTGCCCAAGGCTGAACGGGAGATACAGTGGGAAATCTAAACTCTGTTGATCTGTCCAACCAATTCAACTAATATATATTGGTTAATTATTGTTATAGTTTCTGAAAGAGTCACCCAGTGTAAATTTTCCATACTTCTGTTTAAAAGTTGGTTAAGTGATACAAAATTCCTTTGTTTTGAAAAGCTTCAAAAATTATTTCTGTTTTTAGTAGCTACTTGGATGATAGATCCATACATGAGCGAGACCATCATGATCGGAGATATGTTGAGGAATATAAGAATGACTTCAAGGATATAGATGACCAAAAATATAACAGAGAGTATGAAAAGAGTCATCAGCATCACTATAGCAAATCTTCTAATCGAAGCAGGAAAAGTACCCATAAAAGAAAGCATAAGAAACATGACCACAGTTTGGTATGTATATTTCAAAAATGATAGCAAATAAACTACTGATTTTAACTTTTTTTGGTGGAAAATTAGATTCTGTAAGTATAAAGGTTTGGAGAATTTATCATAAAGAATTAACCTTGATTCCCTTGAAACTATGTAGTAGTGTGCAAGAAAGAGATTGAGAGGATGTAATTAGAAATATACTGTACAGTATAGTGAATGGGTATTAGTTATATCTTCAGGTCAGCTATGAATTTTCATTTGGCTAAATTTAGAAATCATTTGTCCAGTACTTGGAAAACTCAGGCAAATAGTATTTCAAATAACATCATGCAAAATAAAGTAGCCAAGTACAATCAATGTTCATGTGAAATAGTATTGCACAGCATTCATTGTGAAAAAGTTTCTTCTATCCTATCTGTTAAGATATGGAAAGTGTTTATTTAGATGGAAATAGGGAATGAAAAATATAGGGTCTAATGAATTCAACTTGTGTCTGTGTGGTATTTTAGCTTGAGGTAAATGTTGGTCCTTGTTTGAGTTATTTTATTACTGTTGGAGAACCTTTCATTCTGTTGATTGACAAGAAAGGGAGCCTAGATGTTTTGTAAATAGTACCACACTACTAATACGTATATTCAGATATAAGATTGTTAAGATTCAATGTTTGTACTTCTGGATGTTGATACATTCAGAATGTAAGATTGTAGACCACATTCAGGAAATCTGAATAATATGTTTCTTTTTTGTTTTTTGAGACATAGAGCAAAAATTTAAGTTGTATGAAAGATCTGCTGTTCATTTTAATATTGACAATAAATATTTTAGAATTTTAATTAGTTTTTCAAAGAAATCAGTCCTTATTATAACTTCCTAAAGTATACAGTGACACAATCTTGTTTTTGAATAGCAAAAGTAAATATTTACATTACAAATTTATTTCCAGTCTTCAGTTAATTTAATATCTAGAAGACAAAATTGTTTTGTGTTTCTGTTGTCTGACAACTTTTAAGTATTTATCTGAAAATCTGTTCCTTGCCATGTTTTTCTTCTGTAACATAAACTGTGCCCTGTGAAATTCTGGGGACTGAATTTGAAATTGCTCCTGCCAACTGTTCGTGGCCTGGTGCGTAACTGAATGCCTGAATATCCCCGCTGAATGAATTGCGTATTCTACCCTGAATTCACTCTGATATATTGATTGGCTGGACGATCTTGGTGCCGTTTCCAGAAGAGCCACCGAAGGAAAAGATCCAGGAGTGTAGAGGATGATGAGGAGGGTCACCTGATCTGTCAAAGTGGAGACGTTCTAAGAGCAAGATGTATAGAATATTTTTCAACACTTTTAAAAAAACTTTTCAGCAAAACATCTGTTTAGAATAGTATGATAGAGGAGTGGGGGTGGGGGCTAAGGAACCTTCATTGCTCTCTTTTTTCTTTTATTTTGTCTTGAATTTTTTTAATATTTTTCTTTTCTGTATTAAATAATTGTTACTCAAATGCTGCAGTAGTAAACAAAGTTTAAAGTTAGGTTGTTAGCTAGATAGCTATTTCATGACAGCTGTCAAATAAAATAACACATCCAAAGGCAGACACTAAGTTAATGTTTCTTATAATGACATGTTTAATAGCCTTCATCTTTGTTTGATTTTTAGAATAATATATATATAATTTATTCTTTTTTTAGATGAAATTATTGCTACTTTAGGGGAAGGTGCTTTTGGAAAAGTAGTAGAATGCATTGACCACCATATGTAAGTATATAATTTCTCCAAAGCGATATTAAAGCAAATTTCTTTAAAGTGCTCATTTTGCACAAATTAAGAATTCAGACAGAAGTATCTGTGGTTATTGAATGTACTCTGCTAAATTAATCTTTAGTAGTAGCATTCTTAATTTTGTTTTTACATTGTTTATGTGTTGTTTGCTCTAAAATGACATATTTAACCATGTCTGAAAATGGCAGAATACAGTAGCTGGATGAGTAAGACAAACTATGATATGGAGAGAATTAATCAGAGCTGTAGCTCAATCATAAATCTTTGCTTGCAGAGAGTTGCGGGCTGAATCCTTAGTATCTTTAAGTAAAATTAGGAAGGGGATCCTGCTTGAAACCCTGGAGAGCCAGGGTAAATTGAGAGTTGCAACTCTGAAGATGCCCCCCCCCCCCCAACTCCTCCTGAGACCTTCTAGGAACGTATATTTCAACTTCTTCAGCGTGGCCTCTGTGAATCACACATTTGGGTTAGATCAGCGCCTGCGCTAGAACTTCGGAATCTTTTAGACCTTTTCTAAAAAGATACATAGTTTAGATTGCCCCTTGCATGCATGCTGCATTCCCCCCAGCCTTCAGTTCCTAATTTTCCGCCATTGTGCGAGGAACGTTTTCAGACAGAGCTCTCTTTTTCGCCTAATTTGGCTTGACTTTTGGACTGTATTTCTGACTATTTTTACTTCTGTTGCCCCTTGATTTTGGATTGCTTCGATTACTCTTTTGCCTGACAGACTTTGGCTCTTGTTTGACCCGGTCTCCCACGCTTTGTGGATTGCCTGATTGCCAGGCTGATTGGCGCGGGGGGGGAGGCGCCATTATCAGCTCAGCGGGAGACTCCATTATCTACTTATCTCCTGATTACCATGAGAACTCAGGCTCCTATAGCCTACTGTTTTACTGTTTTATGTCCCCGTCAGGTCCTTTTAGTAAATGTAGGCCATGCTCCAGGAAAATGCCCTTTTATGATAAACACAGTCTTTGTTTATTTTGCCTGGGGGACGCTCATAATACTACTTCTTGCCAGCTTTGAAGGCACGCCAACAGAGACTTAAGCTCTACCTTTGGGAAAAGACTTTGTTTGCAACCCATCCGTCAGAAATGGAGACTTCCTCCGATCCTTCAGTGACTCCTCGCTGTGAGACTACTGTGTCTCTCCCGTCTACATCCACTTTTAAGTCATCTAAAGCTCCTAAAAAAGCTGCCCCAAGTTCTTCGAAAAAGGCTCCTTCTACTCCTAAAGTGGCTGTTTCCAAAGACGCTGCGAAGCCTAAGAAGCAGGCGAGACAGCCTAAAAAAACTAAGGCTAAAGAGATGACCTCTCTTCCACCAGTGACACCATCGCTGCCTTCACCAGTTTTGGAAGATTCCTCGAAGGATCAGAAATCCATGTCTGAAGCAGCTCTGTCTTTGCTGCTTTCCCAGCAGCCTGAGGCACTGCTTGAACCTGGGCACTCACCCAGCCCTGACAAAGTTGAGGAGGCTGTGCTGTCCAGCCCTCATTCTGCCCATCTTGGCCCTGCAACTGCTGGCCGGGCGACTGAGACTCCACATTCCCCCTCTTGCTCTCTGAGGAGAGACCTTCCTCCTTGCAAAAAGGGGTTGCAAAGGCAGCATTCTTCTTCCGATCGACGTTATGATTCTGACTTGGAGACTTCCCGACGTCGGAAGAGACACAGGCATGAACCATCTGGGCGCAGTCGTTCAGGAAAGAGGAGGACAAAGCGTCGACGTTATGATACCGACTCAATATCGTCGTCATCCTCCTCTTCAAGTTACCGTAGGCACAGGAAGAGGCACTATTCCACCTCTTCGACCTGGAGTTCTTCACCTTCCCCGCATCAACGTCGACAGGTTCAGGATACTCTACCTGATAAAGACACTAGGAAGGCTTCCAAAAAGACTTCTTCCACCTCGACGTCGAGGGCTAAGAGTGTCCAGTAAACTACTCAGTTCTCCTTAGCAGAGACTAATGTGCACAGGGTTCCATCTGAGGAGCTTTGTGAAGTGTCTTCCAATCAGGATGAGGAGGTGTTCTCTCCATTACAAGTTCAGTCACCAGTGGAGGAGGACTCTTTTGAGTCAGATACAGGAAATCCCCATCCATCCTCACCCTCTGAGGATTTCTCTTCTTATACGCAAATGGTGACCAGAATGGCAAATGTTTTAAAAATGCAAACACAGCTTCCACCTCCTCCATCAGACGATCCCATCTTTGGAGACATCGACCGAGAGTCTTCTCAACCACTTAGCCTCAATTATATTTCTCAACTGTTTAATCTTATCATGGACGCTTGCTCTCAACCAGCCACCCTCTATCTGTCTCTAGGAGGACTGAGAATATGTACTGTATAGGATTCGTGGAGAAGTCAATTTCTTATTCAAGCATCCTGCTCCCAACTCCTTAGAATGCATCTAAGGCTTCAGGGAGACCACATGTTACTCCCACCAATAAAGAAGGCAGGAAGATGGATGTGTTGGGTAGAAAAAATTACAACTTCCAATCCTTCCTCCTAAAAATATGCAATTACCAGGCAGCAATGGGAGCATACCAGAAGCATCTCTGGAATAAGGTACTACCAGCACTTCAAGCTGCTCCTGAGGACATTAGACAAGATGGGGCCAGCCAACCATCGACTTGTTCGCTTCTCACGGGAACAAGAAGTGTGAGAGGTATGCATCTCGAGCAGGCAAGGGCCCCGGCTTCCTGGGAGATGCCTTCATGATATCATGCCAGGACCACCTTCTATACCTGTTTCCACCGATGCCTCTGGTCCAGAGGTCTCTAGTCAGGATCAGACAGCAGAGGTCATCAGTAATCCTCATAGCACCATACAGGCCATGTCAACCATGGTTTTCTACTCTGGAGGAGTTAGCCACCGAGGTATTCAGACTTCCACCTGTGCCACATCTGCTGACACAGGACTCAGGGAGCGTTCTACATCCAGACGTGAGCTCCCTCCACCTAGCTGCGTGGAAGATCTGCCTGAAATCAAAGAGGTATTAGACAAATCCAAAAAAAAATCTACTATTCTTTTATATAAATACAAGTGGAATAATTTTCTTTGTTTTGCCACTGCCAGAAATCTCCAGACTTCTCCAGTTTCCCTACAGGCTTTACTCCTTTATCTCAAACATCTTTTTGATCTCGGCCTTACCTTGTCGACTCTCAAGGTGTACATCTCTGCAATAGTTTCTTTCCAGCCCAGAGATTCAGAATCTTCACGTCTCTTTTCTCATCCTACATTGAAAGCATTCTTGAAAGGCTTGATCAATATTCGCCCTCCTACAAGGCCTCCAGTACCTCAGTGGTCCCTTACATTGGTTCTGCAATCACTCATGAAGCATCCCTTTGAGCCTATGGCTTCGTGTAATGCTAAGTTTCTTTCTCTAAAGACTCTGTTTCTAGTTGTAGTTACGTCTGCTAGAAGAGCGAGTGAGTTGGCAGCTCTAAGGTCTGATTCTCCTTACTTGCAATTCTATAAGGACAAGGTTACGTTGTTTCCAGATGTTTCGGTCCTGCCTAAAGTTGTTACAGATTTTCACCTCAATCAACCTATTTCGTTACCTACCTTGTTTCCTGATCCCTCGTCTGACGTTGAAAAGATGCTCCATTCCCTGGATTTTAGAAGGGTGTTAGCATATTATGTTTCTAGGACAAAGGACTTTCGGAAATCTGAAAGACTCTTCCTGTGCTTCTTTGGACCACACAAGGGTTGTCCAGCGTCATCTTCTACCTTGTTGCGATGGCTCGTCTCCACTGTTACTCTTGCCTATCAACTTGCAAGTAAAGAGGTGCCTGAAGGTCTTAAGGGACATTCTACAAGGTCCATGGCAACATCTACTGCCTTACTACGTGGTGTGGACATTCCAGACATCTGCAAGGCAGCAACATGGTCCAGAGTGTCCACATTTGTCATCCACTACAGGTTGGACCTTCGGGCAAAGAAGAAGACGAGTTTTGGAAGGGCTGTCTTGACATTTGTCCTGCAGTGACGGCCCTCCTTCCGGTAAGTTAGCTTGCCAGTCATCTCACAGAGGCCACGCTGAAGAAAGAAGGGTTACTTACCTGTAACCATGGTTCTTCAAGTGGACCTCTGTGAATTCACACATCCACACCTGGCCTCCCCACTATCCGTCACTGCTTGTCTTTTAATGATCTCTTGTTCTAGCAATGGCGGATAAATGGAACTGAAGGCTGGGGGGAATGGAGCATGCGTGCAAGGGGCAATCTAAACTATGTATATTTTCAGAAAAGCTCTAGAAGATTCCGAAGTTCCAGCGCAGGCACTGATCTAACCCAAATGTGTGAATTCACACAGGTCCACTTGAAGAACCATGGTTACAGGTAAGTAACCCCTCTTTTTTAATTATTAACAAACAAAAGAATTTCTTATTTCTTATTCTCTTTATATGTTACTGTGTATATACATGACATCATTATAGATTTGAACATAGTTTTGAGCCTGCTTTTTTGTGCTATAGAACTGTAGAATAGGAAAATATATACATCTCGTTTCATAGGTTTTTTTGTAGTAAAAAGGGGACTTTTAATTTAAGCAGCTTCTTTTTGAGAAATCAAAATTATTTCTGGTCTTTATTTCTCCCCTTTATTTCTGAAGCTAAGAGGATGGACAGGGATTGGAGCAAGCGGAACCATATTTATCAGAATTCTCTTTAATCTTATTCAGATTTTTTCTGAACAGAGTCAGTTTTGAAGAAGTTGATGTTGACACAAATGATCATTTGTAGAAAGTATCATTGGTTACTTGTAAATCATCAAAGAAAAAGTGTTGTTATTTTAGCACATTTTTCTTTGCTTTCAGAGGGGCTGTTACCTGTGATTGAAACATAGGCATGCCAAATTGCTGGAGTTGACTTACCCATGTATGACTTACAAGAAAAATATGGGCTTGAACTATCTAGATTTCCTTCTTGATTAAGTTCTTTTTGAGGAAGAGTTTGGAAGGAATTTTTATTGGTTCTTCTTTCCTCCTACATCTTCTTGAAAAGCTGCTCCAGAGGGTTGGAGGCCCTCTTGAAGCAGTATGGAACATGGTACTAGTGCTTGGTGTACATGTGTGTGTGTATCTTCTTCTGGATTTCAAACCCTTCTACAAGGTGAAGGGTATCTTTGGATTGATCCTGTAGTTAACTTAACTTCCACAAAACATTTTTGATGGAAACTGTTACTGATAGTTGTGGACAAAATTTGTGATATCAGGAACATCTCCAAAAGTAGACATGAATATTATCTAATTTTAGCCAAATTGTTGTGTATCTTCTTAATATTTTTAAAGTAAAATATGTAGCTCAGAAGTTATCTCACCTAGTGTTACCTTCAGAAAGAAACTGGTAACAGTGAGTGATAGTGATGGTTTATATAAATCAGTGTTTGGTTTCTTAGATCTGTGTGGGCACTATGTACAATAAGAAGAAATTCTTGACTGGCCATATTCATTGGCTTTTCTCATAGGCATATGAAGAACCTCTGGATCATGTTTTTTATGCTGGATGGAGCTTAACCATATTCAGAATAATAGCAGTCATTCTTCAGTTTTCATATTAAGTGTTCACTGTATTTGCTTTTACATGGAAATCTACAGTTAACGCAAATGATGAACTTCTCAGATATTAACATAATGCATGGTTTAAATGTAAGAGCAACAACAAGGATCCCACCAAAAAGCCTTTATCTGTATAGGTGCTTCACACAGATAGTGTGGCGTGTAACAGATTGTTAACTGATGTGCCATATATATTTTCAGCAGCATAAATTGTGTATTTCTGTGCTTTTGAGTGGATTCAAAAGCTGGAGTTAATAGCACTGGATCTTAGTCTTTAAATTGATTTTAATAACTTGCAAGTCCAAACTAGTGATTGATATTTATTTAGCCATAGGCAATTCACAATATTTAACTTTTTTTTTCCATAGGAGAGACATACATGTAGCTATTAAAATAGTTAAAAGTGTTGGTCGATACAGAGAAGCCGCTCGTTCAGAAATTCAGGTATTAGAGCATTTAAATACCTTGGATCCTGGCAGTACCTTGTAAGTATAAATGAGAATAGCAATACAGTGTAAGATATTAAGCAACTAACTGTATCATTAAACTGTTGTTCTCCTCACTTTTTTTTTTTTCTTTAGCCGTTGCGTACAGATGTTGGAATGGTTTGAACATCATGGTCATGTTTGCATTGTGTTTGAACTACTGGGACTCAGTACCTATGATTTTATTAAAGAAAATAGTTTTTTGCCTTTTCCTATTGAGCTCATTAGGAAGATGGCTTATCAGATTTCTCAGTCCATAAACTGTAAGTAAACTTGATTTTTAAGAATGTGTCCATAACGTAAAATGTTAGGTATTGACTTAAGTACTGAGTTCCCACCTCTTTTTCTTTTTGCAGTCTTGCATCACAATAAGTTGACTCATACAGATCTGAAACCTGAAAATATTTTATTTGTAGAGTCTGATTATGTAGTAAAGTACAATTCTAAAATGGTAAGTTTATTTGCTTAAGGTTACTTTCCTGTGGCTGTCTTTCCACCATTTTTTCACAATGGTTTAACATGCTACATACACACAAGTATTAGTTTTACTTGCACCAAATAACCTTTGTTTTGCCCTCACATATAGCAGTGATTCCCAACCTTGGGTAATTCCAGTGTTCTTGGACTGCAATTCCCAGAAACCTTCACCACTAGAGTTAAGACTATTAAATTCTGTACATCCCACATATATGTGCCCTGTTCAGTTTTTGTGTTCAGGGTAGGTTAACACTAAGAAAATATGTTCCATCATTGACTATCTATGTTCTAAATATATAAATAATTCAAGCAATAATAGTTTTTAAAATGATGTTCAGCTGTGCTGCCCAGGTTTTCTGGGAATGACAGCCCAAGAACAACTGAATTACTCAAGATTGGGAACAACTGACATGTAGCATACCTAGCTGTTTTGTTTCTTCAGGAGTTAAGAGTTGATAACTGGAGTTGCTTGGAGTCACTCTGCTGATGGAACTTTTGTCAGCCGAACAAAATCTGGGTAATTCTTCCTCTCTTCTGCAGCTGAACTATATGCCCTCATAACTTGTTTTGGAGGACTAGGAAACTCTGTTGGGCATATTTTTTGGTGGCGTAGCAGGCTCCAGAGTGGAGTAGAAGAAAAGATCTTTAATGCTAGCAAACATTGGCTAGTGTTAGATTTAGGCTCATGTGTTCTAAAATTTTAATTCTGATGCTGGTGAAGTCTATGATATAGGCAGTAGTAAGATCGATATATAGTAGACATTGGCAAAGAAAATTTACTCAAGGATGCTACAGAAGTGTTGAAATAAAAGAAAATACATATTTATGCCTCATCTGTCATTAGTCTGAAATGACTTAGATCTTGGGGAGGGCTGTTTGTTTGATGTGGGTTTTTGTTTTTGTTTGTTTTTGTTGTTGTATTACTGTGACACAGTAATGGGACTAGGAGATTGTGATATATACATTTTTAATTACTGTATTCTAATTAAGAAATAACTGGATTATGTTAGGTATTATACAATATTTAGTACAAGCAAGGTGTGTTTTTTCAAGTTGCGTTTGCATGAGACCACAAATAGGAGTAGACAAGAGCCTTATTGAATTACTACTTTTTAAAGGATCTAGAGCAGTAATAGCCAATTCAATGGGATTGGTAACCAAATTTGATCCCGTAGAGCTGCCATGTACTGCATTAGGCCTAGAAGTGATCAGATGGCTTGGAGAGAGAAAACAGGTGTGAAATGCTTGTACAGACATTCTCATTTTTGATTTTTTTTTTTTTTTTCTTGGGGAAGGGGAAGCTTGAGGGGCACCCCCAAAAGCAGGGCCTTAACTTCAAAAATTTTGAGCCTGGAGGGCTCCAGGAAATGACAT